AAAGAATCAAGACTATTTAACCTACCAGAACCCAGTAACCTAGATTAATTTTCAGTATTGCATGGCAGGGTTTTGTTTTTTTAAAGTCACTTGCAAGCCAGTGTATTAAGCCTAGATGAAGATTGAAGTCGTAAGGGTTCCAGCGATAAGCTCCAAGCTGTGTGTTGAAAGGAGAAGGTGAACAGGAAAAATGCTGAATTTTTCTAGGATCACCAAAACCAAGCCTTGACAGGGCCTTCCCTTTGGTCCCTTCCCTAAGAAAGCCCCTTTTGCTACTGCAGTCAGCTGCGACAAGCAGTGAAGGAGCTGGGGACAGGAGGACACCAACAGGACAGCTTAGAATGCTACAGAGTGTGATGGGATTGCCCCAGACTGTTGATTCCAAGCCCTTCCCTGCCACCCCACCAACCAGAGTAGTATTGCTAACTCCACAAGCCATAAAGGGGGAGGGAAGAAGCTCAAACCCATAACGTGCCATACTTTTCTCCTCAACAGTATCCACAATCAAATTGTTCCAGTCCCAGGGCAGGGCTGGCGAGGCTCTTTCAGCCAGAGGACTGTGTTCAGGTTTGGAGACACCCTCTGGGGATCTGCCTTCTGGTGGTTGGTGTTGTGAAACAAAATAGGGGGAAATCCTTAGTTTGGCCTGTATTGCCAAGAACTGAGCCTCAAGCATGCCAGACTTGAGAAGCAGGTGGGGGGAGCTGCACAAAAGCCAGGAGGACACCAAATGATTGGCAGTTGGAGGAAAGTGGGTGGGGCCAGGGGACGGCGCTTGATAATCCCAGAAACCCTGCAGGCTGAACTTGGCTTGTGAGTGGCACAAATAAGGCCACTAGCTTGAGGCTCAACATCCTTGCTCCAAGGAAACCTCCTAAAGTCCAAGTAAAGAGCCACACTACATTTCATGTTCATATTTTACGAAGTAACTTCCACTGGAATCCCCAAGCTACTAGTAACCAGCCTCTTCAGCTCAGGCAAAGATGCTCCCTGGTCAGTCAGTCTGTTCCTGGACATGCTGGGTTTCTCCCAGCTGGAGAGCCGGGCTGGCAGCTTCCCATCCAGTGGGAGGCTGCCTCAGGGACGTGTGCCTTCTTGCAGGCCTTGGATGGGCCACAGGGTTTCGGTTGGCCAGGTGTCCTCAGAGCTCAGTTCTTTGGAAAGCTCGTTTGTTGTGTGGATGATACGGTGGAAAGATCTGGGTTGAAATCCCCACACAGTCATGAAGCTCACCAGGCAATTGTTCAGTTTTGCAGGCCCCCTGGCAGTTTAATGATAATAAATAACTCTGCAAGGTTTGTTTATTTCCTGCCTTGCTGCCACAAATGTTACTTAAGAGGACCAACAATAGTAAAGATCCAGATTAAAACAGAGAGCCTTAATTAAAACAGATCAATTAACAGCACAAGAATAAAAGAGAGAAACAGGGCCTAGCCTGCTAAAACACCATGCTTCACAAACCGGCTTACCTGCTGCAGGCCTGTCTGAATATATATTTTCCAGCTAGAGGAGAGGCAGTGAAGAGGGTTAGGGTCCATTGACCCAGGCTTGCCTTGGTAGCAAGTTTTGGAGCTTGGGATTGACAGGGGAGCCTGGGAGATACACCTATATGCTGCAGTGCTCTTGTTTCTCAGCCCAAAATATCTCCCAGGACTGCTGTGGAAATAATAGGCAGCAGGCCCTCATGCACTGCCTTTAGCTTGGGGGAAGAATGTGGCTAGCAATGTGGCACATTCTTTCACCGCATTGCTTTCAGCATCCATTTTGGTAACAGCATTCTGGTGATTGTGTCTGTGCCTTTGCATGAATTTGAAACTTTGGATATTGGAAGGCATATGGAAATGAATTCAGGGGATTTGTAGAAAAGGTGATTCTGAGGTTTCTTAGGGATGCTTGAGAAGTTTTTCTTTCTGTTTGTTTTACCTGCTCTTTATTGTTCAGGTGTAATCTGAGGTTCAAATCATCCATTTTTGAGCTTGCAGTGTGCTTAGTGGCCCAAAGGAATTTTGTTCGGTCGCATGCATAGATTTGGAAATGTATGAACGCACACAGTTTGATCATGGGGGATGAATGCATGTATTTAAATAGGTATATGCACACATGGAAATATGCACAGACTGTCTTGCAAAGAGGAAGAGGTTAACTGCCCAGAGAGCCTTTCTGGCTAGTGGGCAGTATATAAATGCAATAAACAAAGGAATGAATGAAGCTTGCGATCTGACATGGACTCAAGCTTCAGGATGGAATTTGAGCTTGAACAAGCTTTGAGTTGTGCTAATTCTTATGTCCCTGTGGTTACTACCTTTTGAAATGTGCTCTACTATCTGCAGTTAATGCACCAGCATCTTGGTGCATTACACAGGCCATAGAGTGCATCCAAATCATATTATATAGGTATGTGCTTCCTGCATAATTGACCTGTCCACTGCAGAGCCTTAGCTTGCCTGCCCTGAAGTGTTAGCATATTGCAGAGGTTTCTGGGGCAGATTCAGCACTGAGTTTATACAAAGCACCACTCCAGCACCATTGGAACGTGGCATTGCCATATGGAAACCGGTACTGCACCCCAGGCACACACAGCTGGCATGGTGCCCTGGAAGGAATCCTCTCCAGGTGAAAAGCCAAAGCTTCTGGAGGTAGCTCTCTGGGAGAAGCAGCCCAAGCAAGGAGAATGGAATCTGGCACAAGAGGGGACTGAAGTAGCTGGGGGGATGTCTGTGGCTCTGTACCTGTGAGAGAGAGGGGAGTCCACATCTGAACTGGGCTGAGCAGCTACCTGGCCCTTGCGCATGGTGGTGTCGGGAGAGACATGACAACTCTTTCGGTGGGATGTGCCTAATTGCAGAGGAAGGCTGTTCGTGAGTAAAGGGCCTCTTGTGAGCAGGGCCCCGCTCATGAGGGCTTCTTCCAGAAGTCTCTGAAATCCTTCAGCTGTACCTGGTATGTGCTAGCTGCCAGAAAAGCATCGCTTTTTCAGCTCCTGGTACCGTGGCACTTCTTTTCTTTGGGCTGAACTTGAGGTTGCTGCCCTCTTATAGTAAAACCCTGCTTTGCACTGCTCTTCTTTCCCAACCAGGGATACCAGGGATAAAAAGCAAGACTTTTTGCTTGCCTACTCACTTAACAAATCAGATTTGTGTCAGGGCTGTGCCTAACCCAGTTAAACCCAGACAATACTTTCTGTAGCAACATTTTGCCAGGTAATATCGGCAATACTGAATAATTCAGGGAAGCTGGGCTGCCATTATGGTTTTCTTCAGTGTAAAACCCTTGACATTCCTTCAAGGAAACAATGGTATCCCTGGAACTTCCTGGGAGACCCACTGCTGCAAAATGTTCTTCCTGTGGGGTGGCAGCTCCCTTTGCTTCTTGCCTGCTCCCCAATTCAGTGAGAACCCTCCTTGTGTGTGTATGCACAGGCTGCTACTCCTTGCCTTTCTGGTTTGCCTTGCTGCAACAATCAAAGCCTTCTCTTTCTGGTGTGGGTTACATGGTGCTGTGATGCACATATCTCTCCACAATGATAGATGCACAGTTTTGGAAGCATTGGCGTGTGGCAGTCTGTGGGTGTGCAGCGGGGGCAGTCGTGGCACCGCTTTGGTAACTGTCGCATGACATCTGCCAAGCATTTTCTCAAACTGTTGGGCCTGCTGTGAGACTCACCAGCAGAAGCAGCAGCAACTCCGTCACAAGCTTCTGAGAAGCAAAGCGCTATGCAGCCTCTCAAGTGCCAGAAGCATGGAGAGACTTAGTGGCTCTTAATCAGTACAAATGCTTAAGACATGTATTATTTTCTGCCAGCTGCTGCTTCACATGCATTGGAACAAGTTGTAGATGGTTTCAATGAAGCATTTGGTATCCACTGTCCCACCTAGTCTGAGTAAAACTGCACCAACTGGCACTTCTAGGCAGGCCCCTGTGAAGGTGCACACCTTTATCCCCTGAGAGAGAGGTCTGTCTGCTCCATTCCCCTGAGGGATAAGCTGCCTCGTGGCAGAAGATGGAAACCTATTTCTGTTCCTCAGCCTACTAACTTTCCCTGACTTCAAACTGAATGGACTACACATTGCATGCTGGTTCGAGAAATCTGTCTCTAGTGGCCAAAAGTGTTAGTTCAGGCTTCCACCATATGGACAGATTTAGATTAATTAAAATTAATTGATGCACCTTAAGAAACAACCCTGGAATGGTACCTAGGATCCCTTCAGTGTAGCCTTCTCCAACCCAGAGCCTTCCAGACATATTTGAACTGCAACACCCAGAATTCCTGGTCAGTGGCCTTGTTAGATGGGAATTCAGAGTTGTGGTCCAACTGGCCACCAGATTGGGAAAGGCTGCTTTAGTATCCAAGTTTCAGTTGTCTCAGTTTCATAGCCCTCGCACAATGGACAGTCAGACACAATTCCTTTATTGCTATAAATTTATATCTCATATACAAATACTGTACTCAGTATCCATCTGCAGATTCTCATAGTCAGAATGACACAATCCATAGATAAGAGGGGAAGGTTTGCAGGAATCCTCTTCAGATGAAAAGCAATTGGCTGAATTAGACAATCCCCTATTAAAGCAGTGCTACAGTCTCCATAGGGGTGACCGATAGACTCCAAAGGGGTGAGTCCCTAAATAATCATTTTTGTGGTGGTGCCCGCAGCAGTTTCTCAAATTCCCAAATGTGCCCAGGGGCACAGAAAGGTAGGGGACCCTGGGATCAGCATCCTGGAGTATTATCTTCCACTTTTCTGCATATATTATACTTTGTGATCCACATGATAGCCCTGTATAATTTTTTATTATGCAGGGTGGAATATTAGAAACAGGTCTGTCTTTGCCTTCTAAACATTCTTCACCTTCCATTGATCCCAGAGGCTTTTTGTGATGCTGGCACACTTTTAAACTGACACAAAGTACATTGCAGGATGGGGCCTTAAGGCACATGCGCAACCTGAAAAGAGTGCATTTTGTATCATTGGCTTATTAATGTATTAATTTCTTGCCAGGAATGCTGCCGCACTGGGGCACGGCTGTTTCTGTTACGCGCTGCTACGCTCCATCCCAGTTGGGGTGTACATCATCTTGGTCACAGGTCTGCGCTACCATCTCTTCATCTGGAGCGTCTTTTCGCCAAAGCTTCTCTACGAAGGAACACATCTCTTCATCACTGCAATAGTGTGCACCTTCTTCATGGCAATGGACCAGAACCACTTGCGCCAAGTCCAAGACTGAAAGCAACTCTCAGGCCGAAACTTACATATATTCTACCCTGTGACGGCATTTCTGCTGTGGGAAGTAGATTCTTGCTTCTGAATTGCCCAGTGAACTTTAAAAATCAATCTATTTTGATTTTAGCAAATGTTTTATATATCGGCTATGTTGCAAAGAAATGCTGCTATGGAGAAAATGGTGGTGATCACTAAACAGCAGTTAAAAGGTTGTGAACAAACTGAGGCCTCACCCGCCCCCATCTGCCTCCAGCACCAGTTTAACCTTAGTCGAGCATTACATCACCATGGATCTTAACTTCAGTAAAGGCTGTTCACTTGATTCAGATCCTTAACTAGGGTTTGAAGCTGGTTAAACATGGGCTCACTTGGCTAACCTTAATGGTTAGCATGCATATGGTTAATATGCATGCTGGCCATGTAACTATGGTTATGGTAGGGTAAATTGATGCTGGAGCAGAGTGAAATCACAGCCTACTTGTAACCTTTTCATTGCAGTTGAGAGATCACCCCTATTACATTTGCACTAAGTTTCATACGGGTCTGTTTTGGGGCATCGGGACAGGAGTTGCCCTCAGGAATTCTTGCTCGTTTTCATTCTTTCATACCAGACCTGTTCCCTAGCAGATGAAAATCTACCAGGCTTTACTAGATTTGAAGAACTGGGACTTGCGTCTGTTGCCAAGACTTTTTTGTTGCTGTTCATTGCAGCATTGTCCCCTGCTTCTCATTTACTAATGGTTAATCATCTCTTTAATAAGTGATGTTTAATGCCTTTGTTCAGCTCTGAGGACTGTTGGCTGGTGGCCCTTATGTAAAAGTTTCAAAACAGCATACCTTGACTTCCCTCTGGTTTTGGCTATGTGGGCCTGGGGTGTGGGGAGAGTTAAAGATGCAGCATTATATCAGCATAATGGGTGTTAAAATCAATTGACATGTTCAGAGACTGAGATTCTGAAGAAGTCCCCTAAGGCGGAGAGACCAGTATTTCAGTGCAACAGGTGGAATCCTGAACAAGGCTGGGCCAGCCGTGATGGCAGAAGTGAACTGTTCCCCTTGGTGGCTCCTAGGGCTCCCTCAAAATCACACAGAGTATGGTGACCCTGCTGGTGGGTGGGGTGGGGTGGAGGGAGATCCCCCCCGCCCATATTGGGCAGAGGGACCATTTGCAAGAAGGCAAATCCTGGATCCGAATCACTGTGTTTGAATCACTCGATATAATGCATGCAAGTTTAGGGTGGGGGTGCTAATTTTCGTCCTGCCCTACTCGGCAGTGCCGTTTCTCATTCACTTCTAAGCCATGCCATCTCTTAATGCCTCCCCATCACTGGGAGTCCAGCCTGCAATGGGGGTGGGGATAGAAATCACATGCAGGGAGCCAGTGCATCCCAACACCAGGTTCTGGGTGGGGGAAAGGAGGGGAAAAGGCCAGAGAGACAGCACGTCCCTCTTCAGGCCCCAGGGTCAGGGGAGCAGTGCCTGGTGAGCTTACAACCACCTTCCTGCCTTTCCTTCAGTAATCTCTCAGCGTGATGGCTCACACTGTGGCAAGAAATTATGGATCAGTAACGTAATACACACACAGCCCTTCTATGAACACAGCTCGCAGAATTTCCTGTAGTTTGCTTTGATTATGTTATTTCTGCAAATAGCAGTCAAGGAATACAAATAAGCTCTGGTGGGCTTAAACATCTGTCATATCTGAAAATGTGTATGAAATCCCTCATGAGAATTAATGGACTGTTTTCTTGGTAAAAGTTACTAATTTCATTATTTTTGATAGCTGCATCTTGGCAAGGAAATGCTACATATTACATATGTAATTATATAAATTGCTACCTATCAAAGCATGCTGGTACATTTGCAACTGAGAGCAAGCTTTGTATAACACTATAATGTAAAGTCTGTGTTTTTTAAAAAGGAGCGATTGTGGTATGCTCTTTGTGGCAACTTTTATTCTCTTGAGTTCAGACCTCATCCTTCCAGAATGGGCCGATCAGCTGCTAGCTTTTTTCCAAGAGTCTAATCAATGTGGTACGAGTGCGAGCTTGAACCGAATTCTCAAGTGCTTAATGTTTGGACAGGAATGTATTGCATTTATCTGAGCCAACCCTGTGACCCATCCTCAGATTGCAGAGAGAGAGGAACAAGTTGTAGGATTAGGGGAAAGCCCATGTACAAGTAAATCACGCTTGATCATCTGTGCTCCTGTATTCTGTGGAGGGCAGAGAGCCATCAGAAGCAGTTAAGATATTGGTTGTGCTCCTGGGTCATGTACAACCAATAAAATGAAGCACGGGGCAGTGAGCCGTATGGTGGTCAGGCAGCAGTGCCACATTTGCAAGTCTCTGGCACTGATTAGTGTTGAGCGTTCCTGCGTCCTTGGGCCTGGTCTCAGGGGATGCAAGCGGCGGTTGGGAAGCTGCAGGACCAGCCCCAGATGCTGTGCTGGCTGAGGCAAATGTCAGAGTGGCGGGTCCTTCCCAAGTACAGACGCTCGCTTCAGCCGTGGCAACAGGACAGCGTGCCTGGAGGCAGCAGTTAGCTCAGGGGACACAGGGCAGGCGGTGTGACACACGCAGCCTGGTCCTCTGCCCAGAGCACCGGTAGCCTGAGGTGGCCACCCAATTCAGCCAATTGGCAGAGCCAGCCTTGGGGAGCTGCCATTTCGGCCCATTGCTCTGCCAGGGCATTGTGTGTAGTTGGAATGACTGGGAGACTCACAGCCACCGACCACAGATTGTGGCATTGCAGCTGGCAGAGGTTTAATGGAAGGGACATGGGATGTGGCGCTCACATTTGGATCCAAGCGTGCATGTAGAGGCAGGGCAGGTAGGTGCAAAAGGCCCACAGAAGCCTTTTGCTGGTTTTTGTTTTGCAGCGCATTGTTTGAGTTACTACCGAAGGCCCAATCCAGCCATTCTATTGAGAAAACAGATAATGAGAAAAAATTAATCTTGCTATGTCTGAATAACACTGAGCTCGTCTAGCTCGTCTTTCTGATCTGTATGTATGTGAATATTTGAAATATACCAGGGATCTTCAGGCACAGTGTTTTTCACAGGGTAGATAAATTGTAAAAAATCTTTGTATTTTTCTTGTTTTGATTTTAGTGATATTAAGAGTCCCTTGGAGTCAAACTGGATGAGATGCAGGAAATCCAATCACCTACCTGCTTTTCTTTTCTTTTTCCCAGCAAAGCAGTGCCATCCCCTGAAATTGGTTGGGACCCCACTGCTGGCAGAGTGTCCCCCTGAATTATTTCCCTACCACTGCGTTTTCTGTGGAGGAAAACAGAAATGCCTATAACCTTTTCCCAAGGAGGCAAATAACGTGTGTGTGTGTGTTATTTAGTCAGACACAACTGCGTTGAATCTCCCCTTCGGTGGACTACAGATTGGTTAAGTTCTTGGGCTCCGTCACCAAGTCTTCCTTGCATCTAGTTTGATATGTAACATGGTTGAAAATGAAAGCCAGATCCCCTGTATCATTTTCTTTAAGAAACTGTGGTGTCAACTCTACAGGTTCATGGCAAACTCTGGCTTAACAAACCAGATAACCTTGCACTAAGCCAGGGAGATGAAGGGCAGAGGAAGCAAAGGCCTGGCTCATTAGGCCAGGCATAAGACATTTCCATAGGGCCAATGAGCTGAAGTTTCATTTACTATTCTTACATTTATATTCCACAAGCCCAGGTCTCCGAAGTCTCAGTCCATCACTCTAACTGTGCCACACTGGTTCTCTATGTGAAAGGAGTGTACCCGGACAATAGATTTCTGTCTTCAAAAATTCATGCATTACTGCATTTAGCTAAATGAATGTTTAGATAGCCAATCAAAGAGTATGTGTATTTCCATCTCCATGGAGAATTCTTGCCCGGTAATGATCAGTCCTTGCTTCCAAAAATTTGGAGCACTTACATTTTCAAGTATGAGATGCAATCTTGCATAGCACCCTTATCTATGTACAGGCAGAGCCAAAGAGAAATCCTTGATTTCCCCTTTGCAGTAATGTATATATACTGTGTTAGTGCCATGCGGTGGGCTATGTGATCCTAGAAAATACATAGACTCTATTTAGTTAGAAATCACTAGGTTTAATTGTTATAACAGCAAATCAATACACTTCCTTGTTCAGAAAATATATGAAGTGCAAAACCGGAAGCTTGATTATAAATCCATGTTCTGTAAATTAGCCCTTTTTAACTACTAAACCATTTGGATTTAAACTGATCTACTCTTGCTTTTTCAACCTATTGGGCATTTGGATTTGTGCTTTCGATATTTTATCAGGATTTGCTGGTGCCAAGGGTAATTTCAGGCACAGCTTTAACTGGTATCATCCTGCCTCAAACATGACATTGTACAGGGGATCTGGATGGTATCTTCCACTTGGAAGCTTCCAGGGTTTTCCCACCAGTTGACTCAAGCTTCTTACCACAGAAAATCTGTGAAGGAGGGAAAGATGAAATAGCAGCACAGCCCTTCTAGTTGAGTCACACTGGGAGCCAGCCAACCAGAAGCATCCCAGTGCTTTGCTAGGAAAAGGGCCAGGATCAGACGAAGAGAAGCAGCTTCTGTGCCATTGTAAATATATATGTATTCCAAAGGAATCTCCACTAATTCGGCACGAAAGTATGCTTGGGAGAGCAGCTTTAATTCAATTTTTCTCAATGCTGTTCTTTAAACAGGGAAGGCTTGGCTTCAGAACAAGTTAAGAGAAACAAGTCAGCATGTGGCATGTTTGCATACATGGGACATCTTTCGTACCTTAGGTTATGCAGTCCAATTTTGTTCATGGCTTAGTTTGACCACACGCACGGTACCCCTACAGACACCTCCCCAAAAGCGCCTGTCTGTGTTGGTGTCTGAGCTCCACCAATAGCTCGTGCTGTGCATGTTTCAGTCTGGCTCTGCTTTGAAGAAGGCTCCGAAGGTACAGCTGCGCCATTGTTGAACTTGTTAGGCAAAGATATGTCCCCACTGGGGGTAACAGCTGCTTGTTACATTGCCAAGTGAGGAGGCAGGTGGGGCTGGGAAACTATTAATCAGGACTGGCTTTTTAACCATTGCTAAGAAACCCAGCTCAAGCCAAGGTTATATACCCTAATTTATAGCCAAGCTTTAACCATGGTTAAGGTATTCAGACAGGGTTTGTAGGCCCTCGGGAAAGACATCCTCCCTCCCTCCATGGGGCTGCCTTCTCCCCACTGTGCTCGCCAGCTACTCTTGTTCCTCCACCTCTTTCTCTTCGTCGCTACTGCTTGCTTGACAGGTAGAGAGCCGGGGAGCGTGCAGGTTGAGACATCCAGTGCTGTTCCTTCCTGCCGCAACCATTGCACACATCAGAGTGAGAGCGAGGTGAACAAGCAGGTGGCAGCAGTGCAAAGAGGACGGACTCCAGTGGGTTCCTCTCACGGGGGCTCAATTTGAGTTTGGGCCTTTGGCCTGTGCCCAGCCACACCTACCCTTGACATCAGCCCTGTATGCAGATGTAACACTTTGACATAGATAAGAAGAACGTACATAGTGTCAGGTGTCTGCACAAGGTGCCACTTTTTCATTAAAATTCAGCAGTCTTGTCAATCTTCAGGTAAACCTAAGCGGAGCTTTCACCAGCGGATCTTAAATGGCTTTTTATCCCTGGGCTTTGCTTTTGTGTCTCAAGCAGATATTGGAATAAAATCTAATGCCCTTTACGTCTCTGGTGTGTGGACTTAGCTTTAGAATGAATGTAAGAAAATCAGCTTTTCCAGTGACTGAAGTGTTGTTTGACTAGCTTTGCGCTCATGAGACTTGCTGCTCCCAAGAGGCTCGTAATGCAAACTTGTTGGGCTTCGGGTTTATCAGAGGAATTCCTTTGGGGAACAGGAAAGAGCAAGGCTGCCCCTTTGAATTTGCTGATAGGAGCAGAGGAGTGTGATTATTTTGCACAATTGTATCTACTGCAGAAACTCTACAGTCTTTGCAAGATACAATCTCTCCTCCTCCTCTTGACATTCTGTTGAGTAGCTGTGCTGTGCATTCCTCAGGTCACAACACAATTTTCCATGTGAACTTTGAAGTTCAGACCTGAGTTAGGACCAGGCTTGCTTTCTGTGTCCCTTTTGCTTTGTGGTTCCAGTTTTCCACTGGTTTTGAAAAGATCCATTTCAGTGAGAAGGCCCACTTAACTAAGATAGGAGATGTGGTCCAGCTTACGCAGTCAGGAGAATTGTGTACGAAAATTTCTTCTAGACTGCAGTGCTTAAAGGTGCAATTGTTAGTGAGTTGAATGTCCAGGGGACTGTAAGGGTTGCATCCAATCTTGATCATCTACTGGTTGAATGGAAATTGCCGACATTGTCTGGTTGTGCAAGTGGAAGTCTGATTGCTGGATATAAGTCATTATTTGCATGCTCTCCCAAAGCAAAAAATAATTTGCATATTAAAAAGAACAGCTAACATTCCTGGCCCTAAAACACTAGTTTTCTGTTGTGGGACATTCTAGAAATTAAAATAGAAAGACCAGGGTGGGAAATATATGAGCTGTTTGTGTGGGTGGGTTCTAATGGAATGCATCCCTTGGACTTGAAGTTGAATATTATGAAGGAATGATCACTTGTGGAAAGCCAGCCGTGGAAACAAAATCTGGGATTACAGACTTGGAAATTTTGTTGTTCTCATTTTTTTTTTAAATGTGAAGAGCTTCTAAGAGAGACTTAGAATTCTGATGTGGAGGTGTGAGGTGTTAAGCAGCTTAATCGTAATGAAAATGGAGATTCAAGCACTGAAGGAGCGAGGACTGATCTGAGGGAGTATTTAGATGTTTCCAAGTCTGGAATGTACCCTAGTTCAGGAGTAACAAACCAAACTGGGATTTCGATGATATTTACCTGGGATCAGCAATGAAATGCTGCCCTCTGGAATGACTCTTGTCAGGATTCCAGCCACTCATTCCATCTTGCATGCACACAGACTGGCTTTCTATTCTCCCCCACACCCAAGGATCAGTCTGTCCCACTGAGTATAGTCCATCCTCACTGGACAGTGTTCTGAGTCTTTTCTCCTAATGTTTTAGCATTTCGTTCCAGCCACATAAGAGTCAGCACTTGGAAAACTTGAATCACTGTTAGTAGATGATGTTTTTATCTTGGAAGAGTCACTGTTGTCTCTGAAGGTTGCTGATTTGGTGCATCTCCAGTTGATGCTTGGGTCAATGTTTTGGCTTTCCTGACAGCAAAAATTCCATGCCTATGAATGCAGCAGTCCCGTGCTTTCAGTGGGGCTTTTTCAAAGGACTGCAGCCTTGGAATTGGAAAGCTGGGAACAGAAAGAGTATTGCTAGAGCAGAAGGGATCTGGGCTGGGTCTGTGGGTGGCAACGACAACCCCTAAGCCACAGAAAGGGGCCTGAATGTGCTGCAGGGACTGGTGCAACAAGCATGCCAGCACCAGCAACTTAATTTCTGTTCCCAGCTTCTGGCCCCACTCCTTTTTACTTAGCCCATGCTTCCACTCACGCTTATTTTTCGGGAGGGGCTCCTTTTTTATTAGTTATTTCTCCTATTAAAGAAAGCTTTCTATTGACTGATTTGGTTGTCTCAGTCACGTTGCATCACACTTGCTCCCTTCTGGGCATTATTTAGCAAGCTCTTTGAGCCTAAAGGCTCAACTCAATTTCAGAGATGCTCTTGGGCTGCATTCTAGTAGTAGGTCTGAAAATACCAGCATTCGCCATCTTAAATTTAGGAGAGGCATTTCAACCTAGCTTCACCTGAGGTGCCTGATCCTGCCTAATCTCGGAAGCTAAACAGGGTCAGGTCTGGCTAGAATTTGGATGTGAGACTGGAGTCCTACAAGGTTGGACATGATGGCCTTCCAACTGTATGATTTTATGATGCTTGTGAGCCACCCAGAGAACTCCATCTATGGGTGGCATAGAAATGTAAAAGATGATGATAATCACCACCACCACCACCACCACCACCACCACCTTTGAGAAAAGGGGAAACACTGCATCGAAGTCAGGAAACCACTGAGTATTTGGTAAGCAAGCAATGGAGGGTAGAGCCAGGGGAAGAGGTTTCTACTCTTGGATTGCCCTCCTAGTTGGAGACAAATTGGTCCCCGGACTGAGGTTCCCCACTTCTGGTTTCTGGAATCCTTGTTGATGCGCTGCCCTTCCTATGGTTTCCACAAGAGGCATTAAAGGCATACAGCCTCTGCCTTCCACCATGGGCCTCACAAAAATTTATCCTGTTTCTGCATCAGAGGCACTGCAGTATACAGAAACAAGTCTGTGCTAAAGTGACTGGAGGAGGCTAAATTGACGGGATCTCGGCAGGCTGATGGCCCTGCACATGAAAGAGACAGCCGAAGCTGCTGCATGCAAGCGCGACAGAGGAGCTGCAATCCACAGCTGATCAAGCGGAAAACAATAACTGAGAATACAGGAAAAGTGAAGGAGAAAGATTATGAAAGGATGGTGGACTGGGTAATCGTTTTGAAGAGGCCTGTCCTCTCTAGGTTTGTTGAATCCCTTTGTTTACATTGGAAGCACAGAAATCTATTTATATGCCGGTAACAAAAATAATACTGAACTATAAGAATAGCAAATGCAGCATAAGTGGAAAGACAGGCTACAGTGACAATCCGTAATATAGTTCACTTACAGATGAAATATTTGGAAATAAAAATGCCCGTATATGTAATTGCTACATGCTGACCTCTCTGATCCTATGAATGAATACCCTCCAAAAAACCTTGTCCTTCATAGCCCCGCTTGGCTCTTTTAAACTCAAGGCTGGGGCTCTCTTAACAGAATTTATCCATCTCACTTTTGGGTCCAAATATTATTGGGAAGCAAATTATTAGAAGGCATATCTGCCCTCCAACGTTGCTATTAAGTTCATAAAGCCATCAGTGCAGTCGAGAACGTTTAATATTTTGCACGAATCCTGATAAATGGCTGGTTTGTTGATCCATTTTGGATGGTTTCAGTAATAAAGATGGTGCCCTGGGAAACACTGTAGGAACGCTGTAGTTCCTTCAAACTTCTGCTTATGGCAGATGTGTATTGCCACCTCTCAGGATATCTAAGAGCAATGCACTCAATATATAAAAGATACATTCTCTCCTCTGTGTGTGCCTGTGATTGTATAGTGAGGTCAGAGATGGACTGTGGCAATGATAGATTTCTTTTCAAGCTGAAACTTGTACACAGGATTCAACTTGAAAAAAATCTATAACTGCCTGAGTCTGTCTATGACCTTAGTAGATTGTGCGAAGGTGAATTTCCTTCTGTAGAGAGTCTATTCCTCGTTTTAATTGTGTTGTGTGCAGAGTCTTGCTGATTTCTCTCTACCAGCAGACGGTTGTAGCTTCGCATCCAAGCCATGAATGTCCTGATGTGCCACTGACTTTCCAATAGATGTTTGTCTCCTTTATGCTATCTTTCTCGTGCAAAAAGATCACCTAAACTAAATAAAGTCTCCCACTGGGATTTTTTCAGACTATTGAAAGAGGAAGCATACACTGATGGACCTCCTAAACATTTTATCCATGTCGGAGTGCAAGATTTGGTATTTCTAATAATGTGCTGTATGTGTTTCTGAGATGTTTTTCCCTTTTTGTAATCGTTGCGCATGAATTGCATTAGACATTAGTACCAGATAAGTTCCTTCCCCTCCTCCACCACCACCATCGCCATCATCCCATTTCAAAGCACTCTGGGTGGTATGCAAAAGAAATGCAACAAAATGCAACCTAAAATTCCAATATACAACTGTTAAAAACAATTTTGGCAGTTCCAGCATAAAGAAGAGCTATTAAAACAGCTGATATGTCCCATCTAGTGATAGATGCATTGTACTAATGCAAATTTAATACTCTTTTTCTGAGCTTATCTTTATCTGGGGGTGTATTCTGTGTGTTCCCAGTTTCTGCCCTGTTCTGACCCCCTTCTGCCTCCCATGCAATCATTCTGGTTGCCGTCTGATTCTCTCTTTCACCCCATCTGTGATGTTCATCAGGGCAGGGTGGCCCCAGATTCTGCCAGCTGATTACCCGTTGGGTGAAGGAGCACTTCCAGGGCCTCCTTGCAATCAGATGGAGGTGGCCTTATATCCTCAGATCAACAGAGCAAGATGAGCAACTGTAGTCTTGATTGAGGAAATTTCTTACATCTCAGGTTTCTCTGGCTGGAGCACTGGATCAACTTGATGATGAGCAAAGAAAAATCAGTGGCCCAAGATGATGTGTGTGTGTGTGTGTTGTTTTTTTCTCTTAAATACAGGATTGGATATACTGTATATGGAAAGCACAACCACAAACTTAATATAAATCCCTGAATATGAGTGGTGGTTTTGGAATAACAGGAGTGTGGAAGGTCTTATTTCCCAAGGGCTGAGTTCAGTTTGGATACTTTCTCTGGGGCAGCACTCCAGTGGTGGTTGGCTGAAGACAAAGAAATATTTGAAAAGTAGCATGTTTTAGCTGAAAGCCCTTCTTGCCCATGAATCAGCCTTAGGCCTTGAATCCTTCTAGAACTGAAGAACTGTACAAAAGCCAGGCATCCACCAAAAAATCAGCTGGAGGAACAGGGAGCCTGTCTCAGCACCCCCAGTCGGCTGCATTTGGCCAGCAGTTCAATACCTTTGCTCTGCAGTGTATCACTTATCCCGAGACACACCCCAAAAGTCTACCACGGGTTGGAGAACCAAAGTGGTCTTGAAGATCTCTCTACTGGTACTAGTTACGCCTGCCATGTCATGTCATGACCCCTGTTCTTGACAGTCACGAAGCCAAGGGGGGGGACCCCCCATATTTATTATGCGGTTAAAATGTAATATGTTAAATTAAAATCTGTAAATTGTGATATATGGCCCACCAGATTATATGTGAACCAAAATATATAGGATATAAATTAAATTGGGATATGTATCCATCTATCATCTGTCTGTCTGAGAGTAAATTGCTTCATGTGATTTTGCAAGTGAATAAATTCTTGCTATAGTTTCTCTCTCTTTCTTTTTTTCTCATCTCCTAGCATGTAAATCAGATGATATTCTAAAGTCCTACCTTGACACTTGATTAGGATAGAAACTGATCATTTCTTGACCTCCTATACTGAAATGTTTTAAAAAGATACTGGCTAAAGTTTCTGTAGCCCTGTCCATATAGGGCAGAACTTTTCCTTAAAAGGAGAAACAGGAATGCAAAGAATGGAAGGCAGGATGTTAAACTGAGCGTTAAGTTCCCCAGCTGTGGATATATAGTCATGTTTGTCCATATCCATAAGCTAGCATTTAGCTATAGATTTTGCCTGACAGGGGCCTGACTCAGAGGCGAGACAGCTTTCCACTTAAATGGGTACATTATTGCCCAAGATCCCAAGAGAAGCCTTGTCTCATATGTCCGACAAGGCTGCCTGAATAATGCAGCCGGGTGGCCCGTCCATCCATATG